GTCGCAAGGCTTCCCAATTTCTATGCAACCGTTCCTTGCCCATTTGGTAAGCCGTAGAGTGTGTGGCCACCTCATCCTCTTCGAATTCTGCACTGATCTCTTCTTCTTGAACATCTTGTACCCTGGGTCCCTCTTGCTCCAGAGGCAGAGTAGACGGAAGTTAGACTATAGCTTTATGGCTTTTAGTTGACCTATCTACCACTTTAAAGGAGGAATATCCCTTTCTTTTACCGGGCCCAAAAAACATGCCTGAATATTCGCAAAATCCAATCCATCATATGGTGTCTCTTGTCAGTACAATTATCTTCCTCAATCACCCCTCCCCCAGTTAAAGAATTGTCATAGTGTTTAGCTTGATTCCGATGCATTAATTTACTGGTTACAACGTCATTACAACTCCAGTCGTTACTGCGTTACAACGAGCGGAACGGGTGTAAGATCATATTTTCCACATTTTATGCGACGAGTCGTCTTCACGAGAAAATTTTCGTATGTGACAACTTTTATTTGTCACTTAGAAGCTAACACGCCAGCTTTTCAGCAAATAAATTAATTACACATAAATTTCCAATTTTCCTCGTCTACAAGAGCAAATAAGGGTTGTCACATAAAAATTGCTCGTTTAGACAAGGCTTAATTCGGTGTGAAGTTTTTGTTCTGTTGGTATTATGGTTTCTTGCCTTCTTTGTTAATTAAATATCCCAATTTGACTGGTGCATTTTGTCAGTAGACAATTTCCACGTCTAAATCTTTGTTCCATTTTCTATGTCAACTTGTTTGTAAGCTCCTCTTTTTGTTTCAATGTTAATTTGAATTCTTTGCTTTACGTGAATTTCGCACCTTTGTGGTGAACATGCGCACTCCACGAGCATTGTACAGTTTCGTCACAATTTTTTTTTTTTTAGTTGTATTTGAATTTTCAGTCCTTCCTACTGTGGTTGAAAGATGTGATGGTGTTCTCAAAGTTTTCCTCACGGATGAATTTTTTGCTCGTTTTGAGTGCTATCTTCCTGGGTTTCTCTTCGATACAGACATCAGGTAGGTGTTGGCCCCACATATTGTGTGAAAAAGAAACAACTAATAAAACAATTACATTGGAACCCCACCTTACGGCCATCCAGTTAATACGGCCACCTTATTCTGGCCCGAACGAAAACTTAGTCAGTCATTTTCTTATTGAAAGAACCTCTTTAATGCGGCCACCCGCTAGTACGGCTAGATTTTTGTATTTTTGTGACCCGTTGGTGACCGGATTAACGGGGCTCCACTGTAAATTATTATTGATTTTGTTATTGATTTTGAGCGCTATAAACTTAAATTTCGCGGCATTAAAAATTCGGCAGAATGATTTCACGTGAACTTTCCGGGCGCTATTTTCAACTAGAAAATCCTGAATCAATCGGAATTGTGTATATCGTATGGCAGTGTTTTTTATTGCTGAAACTTTTAATAAAATTTCATTTTAAGTTTTCCGTGCAACC